TGGTCGTGACCCTTCCTTTCCATCGACTCCGGTTTCTGTTTCTCCGTTCTTATCCCCTTTATTTTTATCTTCCTCCCCATTTTTCTTACCCTAGGGTTGGAACAATCATCGAAAACTTTGTGAAAGTATTTCCTGCAAGCATGGCACCGCGCAGTAGTAGCGCATATCATTCATGCTTCTACTTAACCAAATTCCAAAAATCAACCATCAGTTTCCTCTTACACCTGAATTTAGCTACAGGTATTAGATCGAAGCGGATGTCGAAGGTCCAAGGACAATGAGTTTTTATACGGGGTGGGACCTATGATCACAATCCCGAAGGCATCCTCCACAATTCCCTTTGAGGGACCCATTCAAGTTGCCGAGACCGACACTTCGAGACATCTAATCCATAATAATTTTTGCTTCATGGCCTCCCACCATTCAACTAATTCCCGTTCTGATATTCACGGACGAAAAAAGACTAAATAAGTAGCGCTGTCCATTTCAATTATGTCTTTTCGTCGCTATCTCCTTCACCGAAGCCACATACGTAGCTAGATTCCTACCCTCATTACGAAATAGGCCTCTCTTTGGAGCCAGGCAAGGAGTAATCATTACCGAAGAAGATTGAGACAGCGTGCTCCCCCAACCACTCACTCTGAATGCGAGCTAAATCAGGGTTAATTATCACCTTCACAAAATCCTCCCCCGTATTAACAGTACTGGGAGCCAGTTGATAAGGGAGGATTCCATCTACGAAACAAGTGTCAAGTAGATACCGGATTCTCCTTTTATCGGCCTCTATGGGAGGAGTAACCCTATGGGAGTCAGCACTCGATGAGGGAGTCATCGCCTCCATCCACCAAGCAAACAGAGTCACAATAAGGAAACTCGCTAAAAAACAAAATCCTACGAAAAAAAAATTCTTTCGTGAAGCAACGACACTATTGCAAACCATTTGGGTACCAGGCCTTTGGAACAACGGATATCTAAGAGGTTATACCTCCTATGTCACCGTTTTTCCCCAGGTTGAGGCTTGAAGTCCACGGCCCGCCTTCAGTAACTTCGTCATTTTGAAGCCGTCCTAAGCATTGGAGCGGGTGGCTGCGGAGCACCAGGTTTCACCTCGAAAGTACTGAGAGAGAAACCGAGGTAGCTCAAGCATCGTCCGCCTATAGCGAGGGAGGATAGCGTCGTCGGAAGTAGCACGGGTCCCACGGCCTACCAGCCCCACTGTTGAGAATAACTCACTGGGACCACTAGTGCTAACGCACCGGTAACGCCCCTCAACACCGAGTACCCCATTTCTCTTCTGGCAGTTCCCAGAGCGTGTGTGAGATGTAACCATGGGATGCTGGACCCGGTTTCCAGTAGGTGACGCTCCCCCACCAATAGATGAGTCATCCTCTATATAAAAGCTGGACCCGGTTTTCCAGTGGGTGACGCTCCCCACCAATAGATGGAGCCATCCTCTATATAAACGTCTATATATAGCATGACAGTGCAAGCCCCTATATAAGTGTCCGGCTTTTGGCTTGATGGACGGAAGTGAGCCGGTGTGGCCGCAACACTTACTCCCTTCTAGCACAGATGGCGAGGCAATGATTTAGCAATCTGCCGCCTGTCCAGGTGGTTTTGTTCCCAGGCTGCACCGACGTATGTCTATGCTCAGAAAAGACGAACCTGGTTGTAAGTTGGCAGTTAGGCTCATGGTCACTTAGCACAAACACAGCAGGCTGCCCCTGAGGAGCAATGGGCCTCGCTGCACTACGCTTGAAACTTGAAGTTTTCAAGAGTGTGGCATGGCTGCATGAAGAGCTGCCAGACTCACTCTCGAAAATGGAGGTTGAGGGTCTCCCTCCACTAGTCTAGCAACTGGCCATTTCTTGAGAGTGGCACCGCTCCACTTACTCTAGACGCCAGGTCTGGGATTCGGGTTCTTGAGCTATTAGTCTCTACTCACGAAAATGGCGAGAATCCGTCGTCGCTCCACTACCTCATGAAACACACTCACGAAAACACTTTTCTTGAGTTGTCAGAACCCCCTCTCCCGTGGCAGTCTTGACGTTTCGAGAGCGCCCGCCTGCAGCGGCGGGAATTTCAAGGGAGGCATCCAAGACCTTTGAAAGTTGAGCATTTTTTTGGAGTGCACCTGGAGTTTGGGCGGACAACAACGTGCTGGCCGTGTCGTGTAGCTCTCTCAAAGAGCGGTCTAACATCCGAGAGGCCTTCTCGAGTTCGACCTTCTAGAGTAAGTCGTTTCTAGAGTCTGACAGCTCTAGACTGCTCTCGAAAATCTTCGAGAGTAGTGGAGAGAGATCCTGAGTCATCGCTGCACTAATTAAAGAAAGGCACTCTTGATATTTTTTTCAAGTGCTGTCAGAGCTCACTCACTCTCTACGATTCAAGAGCGCCAGCCTGGAAGTTCAGTTTTTTCAAGGGAGGTTGATAGGACCCTACGCACCCCATAGTTTTTTGAGAGTTTACCTGTAGTCTGGGTGGATAAACCTTCGTACCTGCCTCACGTAGTGCTTTTCTTTTTGCATTTTTACCCCCAAGTTTGTGTCCCGTAGTGCTTCCTAACCTTCAAGAGTTCAAGAGATTAGCGTAACTGCAGCCACAACTGCACTATCCGGCATTTCAAGAGTCCGACAACTCTTGAACGACGGTTGAACTTTTTCGAGGAGTCTAGTATAGTGCAGCGAGGCCCAGGTACAAAGTTTTTTTTTTTTTTTTTTTTTGCCCTGGATGTATGACCATAACGACTGCTGCCATATTAATTGCTATCAAAATAGTCCTGGCACGAGTCTCATCAGGTCTCGGAGCAGCGTTGGTCACCCAACAACCAGGTCCGCAGTGTTAGCAATTGCTAATGAACTTTCCCGAAATACCGTATCCGCAGTGTTAGCAATTGCTAATGGACTTTCCCGAAATAGCGTAGAAAATGTTCTGGCGTGAGTCGCCCGACATGAGACCTCCCCCCACGACTCGCCAAACGCCAATATTCTGAATGAATCTGAAGGAGTCATCGAGCCACATGCTTTCGCAATGTTGGCATTTGGCGAGTGGTGCGGCGAGGCCCTTGGGCTTGTTTGGGGGGTCAGACGGGACACCTTTTATGCTCCCACTTGTTGGGCATCTCGGGAAATAACGCCTAAGGGCATACCCCCACCAGCACTTTCTTTTTTTCTTCCCTACCGGTCAAATCTGGCCCAAGATGCACCTGACAAAAAAAGAAAGAAAGAAAAAAAAAAGAAAAGAAAAAAAGCACCTGACCATAACTACAATACAACCACAGTGCTTTCTAAAGTGCTAGTTAGAAAGGTCCAGTAGTGTAGAGTACGCGGTGAATTGAAGACAGAAAAGGAGAAGAACCCCCCCTCGGGTCTGCATGTGCGAGCACATACATGCATAATCATTGGGAAAAGGGACGAAAAAGGTAAGGTGCTCACAATGATCGGCAGGCAAAACCGCACGTGCCCGATCAGATCACGTCTCTGCCGTTTGCATGGTCTTTTGCTGCGGCGTGGTTGAAATGGGATCTCCAGATGCAAAATTCCGGCCTACGGGGGGTGGCGGTAGGAAAGTAGGCAATTGAAGTTGAAGGGAAAAAAAGTGCGCGGCTTTGGAAGATCTCTGGCGAAGGGAGAAAGGCGAGAATTACAAGCTTCGCCCGCCCAGAAGTAGCAGGCGTCAGCGAGAGGCATGGCGGGGAAACCACCCGGTTTTCAGCGCGCCTGCAGCATGTCGGAACAAGCCGCGTCGTTGTCCCCAGTATAGGCGAATTTGGTCGTTTGTCGTCTCTTGCCGCGCAGCGTTGTCGTGGCGTGGCCGTATCGCTGATTCCACGAGCGGCATTCCCGGAGGCAGACGAGTTGCTGTGGGCGGGACAGAGGAAGCGGACGAAAGGGCGGGCAGCCGGCCGGCTGGTGCGAATGACGCCAAACAAGGAAAGTCGCGCTTCCCGCCATTGGACCTGACGTTGTCGTTTACTTTACGAAAAAGGAATGAAAGAAGGAATCTTCTGTTGATGGGTTCTCTTCTCCCGCCAAAAGCGGTGCAAGCCGTCCATCTTTGCGCTGGGCCGTCCAACGCCTGCAGGGGCAATTGAGCGTGGCTCAGATTGGCAGAGGGTTTCGATCGGGAAAGGCGAGGGAGGACAAGGGGGGGGGGGCGGGAGGGGGAGGCCCGTGTCATCAGTGTGTGGGGGGGGGGGGGGGGGGGGGGGGGGGGGGGGGGGGGGGGGGTGGCTGGTGTTGGAGTGGGGAGGGGGGGACCGTGGGGTAGGCTGGGACAGGCCGGCCCCACGGGAGTGGAGAATGTTGGGAAACCTGTGAATGTGAGATGAGAGGAGGAGGGGGAGAAGGAGGGGGAGGAGGGGTAGGAGGGGGAGGGAGAGATGGCTGACTGTGCCGTCGTTTGCTGTCATTGACATTGACATTGCATCTCGGGGGTCTAGTGTGCCGCATCGGGTTCAAGGTAGTGACGCTGGTACCTGCAGACCGAGGAGGAGAGGAAGCGGGTGGTGTTGGGGAGTGGAAGACGCAGGTGGACATGCAAACGAGAGCGTTGGGGATCGGAGATAGGAACCTGTCGATGTCACGTGGTCGGGTTTGGCGGTGGCGGTGATCGCACACTAAGACGGCGACCTTGGTGAGGGGCCAGAGATGGCGATGTCGCAGGCAGTGCGCGGGCATTAGCGCAGACATATGCATAGACAGACACGTGCACAGGCGCTAATAGGCTGCTGATCTCTACAGTCACCGACGTGCCTCACGCATAGTGTGTGTGGAAGAGAGAGAGTTGAGAAAGAAGAGGGGGAGAGAGGAGGGGGGAGCAAAAGCGGCGGGGGGAGAGGGGGAGAAGCAAAGAGAGCGCCAGGGAACTAGGGGGTGTGAGAGAGAGAGAGAGAGAGAGAGAGAGAGAGAGAGAGAGAGAGAGAGAGAGAGAGAGAGAGAGAGAGAAGCGGTGCAGGCACAGAACGCGAGTGAGGAAGGTGATGTAAGTGAGAAAAGCAAGGTAAGGAAGGTAGGGGGGGGGGAGTGGGTACCCTGACGACCATTTGGCAGTGACAGCGCCGGTTCAACATATAATGCCACAATGAGTTTTTCAAAGCTGAAGCGCCTGAACAGATCGAAGTTCATCTCTCCTGGGCCGGATGTCGATCCCGCGGTATGTATCTTGCCTGCTTTTCCCCCCGTACTCGACCCCTGCCTACTTATCACTTGTCACACGTAGACACACGCACACACACACAAAAACAAAGACTCACAGAGAACATGACAACGCACACACACTCGCACAAACACACACACACACACACACACAGAGAGAGAGAGAGAGAGAGAGAGAGAGAGTAGACGGGCTGTTTGAGAAATTGGGGCGACTTGGTGAAAAGGAGAAAGGTGATCTACGCGTTGTATGTGTACAATGGTAGGTTGTCACTGTTTGGCCCCAAAAAAACGTCCAGAGCTAAGGCGGCATGTCTTTCCTACCCAGCGATGTCATGAAATCTGCTGCGTGACCGTTTGGCTGTTGTCTCTGCGTTTCTCTTCTCGGTCTCGCATTCTCTTCTCTCTCTTTCTCTCCCTCTTTCTCTCTCTTTCTCTCCCTCTTTCTCTCTTTCTCTCTCTCTCTCTCTCTCTTGTCTCTCTCTCCCTGTCTGTTTGTTCCGCTCTCTCCTGTCTCCAGACCTTTTGCTCTCGCTCTCTCTCGCTTTCGCTCTCGCCTTTCCAGGTTCCTATTTCCTCCCTCAGTTGCCCTTAAGATTCTTTCCCCCGTCCAATTGGTCTTGATTGATTCGATTTGGACCGAGCAATCCATATTGAGATAGATTGATATCTATTACAAAGAGAGCGAGTGCTTTTTAAGGAAGCATCGATCTTTGGAAGGTCTAGGGTGTTGTTACCACGGGAGTGGTTCTTCGCTTTTCCAAAGGAATGTAATTGTCAATCCATTCTCGTGATTGGCAAATGTTGTCCGTCGTGAATGTTGCTCGTTGTCGCAGTCGATGATTATAGATTGGACTATCATATCATGAGCAAGAGTGATGAATCCATCCACCTCACTGTGCAATGCAGAACTTCCGTTGTTACCTTGTTTCCCCGAATAGAACGTACGGTCATTTTCGCTGCATCTGGACAGAAAGGTGAGCCACATACGGTTATGATCACCGTACGTTGTATTCAGTGGAAGACAGTAGTACGATTACATCGTCGGTCCATTCACTGGGCTGGCGTGGGGAACAATCCTGGGCATTATCGGTCTGCGTCAGGGCGGTCGACGTCAGGGTGCTGAAGACGGTGTTATGGGCCTTGATTGAGCCGAGCTGACTCTCGTGCAGTACACAGTACGATTACATCGGTCCATTCACTGGGCTGGCGTGGGGAACAAAACAATCCTGGGCATTATCGGTCTGCGTCAGGGTGCTGAAGACGGTGTTATGGGCCTTGATTAAGCCGAGCTGACTCTCGTGCAGTACACTGATGATGGAATCGAAGAGAGAAGAGTGATCATCGTTCGAGATCACTCATCTCGGCGATGTATTGTGGTTGACACATATCACAAATCTCGATCGGGAGGGAGGGTTCGACGCCTGGACCTTGAAAAATTGGAGGACCATTTCTCGATCCATTGTGCGTGGTCCCCACCTTTGAGCAGGAGCCTTGCTAATACTAATCTTCTCTTCTCTTCTATATCGTTCCAATGATAACCTATGTCGTCCCTCGGCGATTTCCCGAGTAACCCTGAACTTCCTCTTGAACAGATCGTCGGTTGGCACGGTCCCGCGTGGGACTGATGAATGGATCCATTACTATTTGGTCACTCTGTTGTCGGAACCGCCTTGATGGTTCTCATTATAGGTCACCCCCCCTCTTACCGGTCCATATGTACGTTGAAGCTCCCGCTACCATAGCTACCGCTCATTGGCCACGTGTCTGTAGCTCTCATCAAGCTCTCGCCACCATAGCTCTGGTTAAACCACCAGTACTTCGTAGCGTCGTGCCCGTTAATGCGCCACGATTTTTTTTCTCGATTTATGCGTGTCATCCTTGCTTGCGCAGGGGCCATGCTAATCTTCCTTCTCTGTATCGTTCCAATTTTAACGGATGTCCCGAAGGACTGCGCCACGATTTTAGGAAACGTACGGGCTCCACGATTGTAGGAAACGTACGGGCTACTACAGGAGCGTCCAAATTCATCCGACTAGAAACGTTTCTAGTCTTTATTTTTTTCCGCGGCCGATAGCTGGGCCGAGTACTGGTGGTTTGAGCTCTCGCCAGGATAGCTCTAATTAAGTTCTCACCCCGCTATATCTCTGATTAAGCTCTCGCCGCGATAGCTCTCATTCATGAATGGATCCATTATTTGGTCCCTCTGTTGTCGGAACGGCCATGATGGCTTTCATTATAGGTCACCCCCTCTTACCGGTCCATATATACATTGCATCTCGCCATCATAGCTACCTATATATTGCATCTCGCCATCATAGCTACCTATACACTTCATCTCGCCATCATAGCTACCTATACATTGCATCTCGCCATCATAGTTACCTCTCATTTGCAACGTCCCGATAGCTCCAGATGAAGCTCTCGTCACCAGAGAGCTCTGATTAAGCTCTCGTCAGGATAACTCTGATTAGGCTCTCGGTAGGATAGCTCTGATTAAGCTCTCGCCGCCTGCTCTCGACACCGTGGCTCTCGTTAGGCTTGCTATTACTTATTATAGCTCTGATGCAGCTTGATCGAGATTACATGAAACGCCCGAGTACTACGCTAGCAAGAGATGTGTCGGATATCCAGAAGGTCGGACTTGGGATGCCCTACCGTCTTCCACCGAACATAACGCACGCTAAAAATTGAATGTATACAAGCTATATTTCCGGCCAGATACGGCCAAAATAAGGGTGCGTCGTGTTCGGGGGAAGACGGTAGCCTGCGTGCGCCCCGGTCAATTCGTTCACGAATCGCGATCGAAAAACTGCCAGAGAATGGTGTCGCGTTCTGGTGGGGTCTAAGCTGGCCACGATAGTTTTTCACTATCGGGCGCATTTTTTTCACGTTTTTAATTTTCTCGATTGGGTTGTTGAGATCGCGGTTCACCTTATGGGTTTTGGAATCGATCATGTTTTCTCGACTCCTGATAAGAAGATAAAAAATGTTTTTTTTGTTTTTTTTAATCGTTTTTGCGCTCTGATATCTTTGTGACGATATATATATGTTTTGTACATTTATATTTGTATGTTATATATATCGTCAAACAGAACTGCCCGGTAAATATATATGTTTTGTACATTTATATTTGTATATTATATATATCGTCAAACAGAACTGCCTGGTAAATATATATGTTTTGTGCATTTATATATTGTATACTATATATATCGACGAACGGAACTGCCCGGTAAACCGTAGGCAGATAGGGAGAAGGGGACAACAAATGAGGGGCTGTGACAAATTGTTCCGTCGGAGTTTCACCGACTCATCAGGAGGCTGAACCATATTATATATTATATATGCACGTATCTCTGTGTGTGTGTGTGTGTGTGTGTGTGTGTGTGTGTGTGTGTGTGTGTGTGTGTGT